TGATCTGGAGTAGTTAATTCGACTATTTGGTCTATTGTAGTGATTTTGTGATGAATTATTCGTGTTTCTTCGTTCTGGTGATCTTCCTCTATAACTTGAGTTATATGGTGATTGATTTCTTGTATAATTTGTATTGTTCGGGAGTGGTTTTCCTGAACTGTTGTTGCTGTAGACTGTTTTGTTCGGTAGATTTTGATCTTTTTTCATGTATTGATAGAATGATTTATTTGGTTCTTTATATTTTTGAGGTTTATTTTGATTGTCTTGCTGTTTTTGTCTACATTCGGAAATACTATGTCCGTATCGTCGGGAATAATTACACCATTTTTTGAAAGATGGTTTGCCTTTAAAGTTTGGGTTCTTTTCATAAATATTGAGTATTTCAGTGATTTTTTCAACGAGGTCTGTCTCTGATTCCTGTATATTATTAATATTAGTGGGAGTCGTTTCAATTCTGTTAACGTATTGTAATTTCAGATTTTCCGTTTCTTCTAGTTTCATCGTGATTTCTGCTTGTTCTAATTTGTCTACTAGTTTTCGAAAATCTAAATCGGGTTCGCGAATTGAAGAAGGATGGGATGCTCTCTTTTTTATTGCTATTTTCCTTAATTGTGGTGTTAAGGTCATCATTAAGATTTCTGTCATCTTTGTGTTTTTATAGTCATGTGTATTTAATGAATATGCTTTTCGAACTAGTGTTTCGATTCGTACTGCTATTTGCTTGATGGTTTCGTTTGGTAATCTGCGAATTTCATTACATAAAACTCTTTGTTGTTGTTTGTTTCTTTCGGAGTCAAACATTTTTGAAAATTCCTGTGTAAACCTTTTCCAGTTTGATTTTATTTCTAGAGGTAGTACTGAAAACCATTTTTGGGCTGCGCCATCTAAGGTTGTTTGTATTAACGCTGTGCGTCGATGTATCCAATTTTGATGTAGTGGCGTATTAATTGGTTCAGGTCCAATATTTAAAATCAGGTTTGCTGTTACTGCATTTAAATAATCTTCTACAGAATATTCAGGGTCTGTTCCTGTGAAAACCATTAAAGGTTTGTTTGATGTTATTGATGATCCACCCATAAGGTATGGATTCATTGTCATTTGTAATGATTCTGCTGCATTTGGCATTTGAGAAAAATTTGAAAGTTGGTTTCTTGTTATTTCATGTTGTTGGAGATAATATGGGAGTGGTATTTCATTTTGCATTTGTGATGCTTGATACGAGTGTGTAGTCATTGGATTTTGTTGTTGAATTGGTTGAAAAGATTGTGTATTAATTAGATTTTGTTGTTGAATTGGTTGTTGATGTTGTGCATCTATTGGTTGTGGAGAAAAATTTCTATGATTTGTACGTGTTTTCTGTATTCCTTGTCTACGATATTCTTGAGTATTTGGTGCAAATATATCTGGTTGTAAGAAATCATCATCTGAGGATAAATAATCCATTTGGTAAGATGTCTGTTTTTTATTTTTATTTTGTTGAAAAAATGGGTAATTTTCACTGTGATCCTGTGGAGGATTTGTTTGGAAATTTATTGAATTAGGTTGGGTCATTGGGTTATCCCAATTTCGAGATCTTGTATATTGGTTAAAATTTCTTTGTGGTTGGTTATATGTTTTTGATGGATGTGTATAATTATAATTATGGTCTGCAAAGTTGTTTCTAGTGAATGTTTTGTGTGTTTTTGATGGTATTGTCATGGGTCTGTATGTTTGGTAATCCATATGTGAATATTTAGGGGCAACCGAAGGTTTAACGGTTGATTGTAAGGTTACCTGTGTTTGTGAAGGATTTGTATTTCTTGGTGTTGTTAAATTTGGGCGTATTGGTGAAATACTTTGTTGTGTAGTTGTTGTGTGTACAATTTCTTCATTTATGAAGTGTGATGGTGTCTGGATATCTTGTTGAGTAAGATTCCTAGTTCCATTGAGGTTTTCATTGTGTATAACTGTAGAGTTTAAACTATTATTTTGTGTATCGGGCAAAAATGTATTATAGTTTAATGGTGTTGCATCAATGGTTAATGGTATTACTTTTACATAATCTCTTATGTAAGATATCGTACTTATTGCTTGACTTGAGATTGTTTGTGGGAAGCTTATAAATGCGGGATGAGACCATTCGGGGTCCCAAACATAATCTGATTGTTCTGTGATAGCGGTATCATCGTTCGAGTTTTGGGGTCTAAAATGTTTTCTTGCTTGTGCAATTAAATCAATATTGTGTGTGAAATAATCTATTATGAACCATGCCAAAATTTTTTGTAGATCGTGTTTTGTATGTTGTGAAACGTCGTCTTTCGTGAAATTTTCTTTAATGATGTTTAAATAACTAGAGAGTAGTGTGATTTCATGTCGTACTCTTAAATGTTTAGATGTTTCTGTCGGTGAGACATTTGTTATTGGGATTTCGTTTTCTAATATCGAAATATAACTATATATTATTGCGAAAACTTCATTGGTGAATATGGAGTTTGCTCTTTGTGAGTTATGATATTGGATGCTTTTTATATATTCTGAAAAAACTTTTGAAAATTCTAAATCAAGATCGTCTGTTTGAATTGTATATTTTCTATTATTATGGTTTGGTGAGGTGAATTCTATGGAGTAGATTCCATACTGTTGTGTTATGTTGCATATATCTTTTAAGTAGTGGTCTATGATTTGTCTTTTGATTTTTACATCTGGGAACTCTGTTTTACATGGACTGATTCCGGGTTCAAATAAATTTAATAGTAAATTTTTGCAAAATATATGCTGTCCTCTATCAGTGGTTGCATCTACTATAAAAGGAAAGATTTCATCATCATCTGGACTTTCTTCACCTGGAGTGTGCGTTGAGCTCATTTTTTCGTTCGATGACTGTTAATATGTAATTATTAATGTGTCGAATTGGTTGATTCCAATTGTATAAATGTACTGGTTTGTGTTTATACTGCTTTTTTATTCTTCTTTTTCCTCTTTTTGATGAATTTGAAGTTGTTTCTGAGTCAGAAAAATATAATTGATCGTGAAGTGGGTAATTTTTATCTATTGATTCTTTTAGTTTGTAAAGTTCGTCTAAACTGTTGGTTTCTGATTCTGAAAATGCGTTTCGATTTTTTGAAAATCTTTTTCGTGTTATTTGTCTTTGTTTCGTTATTACTTTTCTTTTTAGTGTTTGTCGTTTTGTTCGAATGTATCCAACTGTTTGTGTATGAGGTGTGATTACAAGGTCGTATTTTTTGTTATCTATTTCACAATTGTGTAAAACGATTGTTTGTTTATTTCCTAGGTTTTTAAATGACATAAGGTTTAGAATGACGGATGCAAAAGGTTGTTAAATGATTTCTATTTTCTTAAACTGTTAGTTCTTACGAATTTTTGGTTAGCTTAACCTGGGTCTGTTTGTTCAGGGTTGGAGAGAAAAGTATATCGATTCCGAAGAATGATTTTTTACTTTCTCGTGGCTAGTATAAGTTAAGGTGTTAACTTACTTAATCTTACTTAGGGGTAGTGATTGTGTTCAAGGGTTGGAGAATAGTAAATCGATCCACAAGGTTCAGGTATAATTAGAACGCGAGTAGTTCGTTAGATACTATTTTAAACTTACTAAGTCTAAGATTTATCCTGGGTCTGGTAAGAGGGGGGGTCAAGTGAAGGATGAATAACCGAAGTTCTTCACTGTTTATCCTAATTTGAATGATTAGTTTTGTTTAAAAATTTCTATTAGTCTTGGGTCTTTAGAAAGGGTTGGGTAGTGAATCGACGTTTGAGGTCGTTAGACACTAATTAAGTGGGTGGGGGAGAACAAAGTTGTTCTGTTTGATCCAAGGATAAGCCTTGATGATCAAATTTGAAATTTAATTAAGTAGAAAATGATTTAAGATCCAAGGATAAGCCTTGATGATCTGGTTTTAAAATTAGGTGAATTTAAGTTTTAATAAAATTTTAAATGTGTGTAAAGGAAAGATTTAGTGTTTTGATGATATTAGTGGGTTTATGATTGCTGTTATGTTTTAGATGATGGAGCTGGAACAACAGGATGATTTATGATTACTAACCATTTATTGTCATGCTACTAATTTTTATTTTTTATTTTTCAATAAATATTTTTCAAACATGTTTTGTATATTACTGCAGAGTTTTAGGAAAACGATCTTAGATCTTTTTATCAATCGTTATTGTATATTAATAATTTTGTTTAGCGCCTGAAATGATTTTGAAGATTAACTTCAAGGTTTTATGTTTGCAAATGAAAATCTAAATTCATTGCCAGTAGTATTCTAAATATAAAAGTTTGTTCTGGTTTTTGCCTAACTATCATATAACTATATGGCAAGTTTCTACTTTGTCGTATGTCGTCTCTGGTTCGAGGTCTTCTTCCAATTCCGGGTAGTTCTGTTATGGTTCGGAATATTGGCTCTGATCTATTGAGTCGTAGAGACATTTCGATTAAATTATTGTCGTATAACATTTTGTAAATGTTTTTGTCTAATTTCTAATCTATTTTTGGTTAATTCTAAGCTATTAAGGTCTTGTTCAAGACTTATGGTCGCACCAGATGAGTTATTACCGAGTTGGTTAACTCATAGAGTAATTTCGGATAGGGTACACCGTCTGCTCGTCACGCTATCTTATTTTCGGCCGGATAGATTCGTGCAACTTCTTAGTCTAATACCGATCCTAATCTTACTCTTATACTATCTAGTCTCAGGTTGTTTAACTAGTCTCTGCTAGGCTCAATAGATCTAGGGTATACTGGTTTATTGCGGCTGCTGAAGTGCTCGGGAGAGTCCAACTAATTTCTAAGTTAAATTCAAATCTCTCTGGTGCTGAAATTACAAGTAACTTCAGCACTTACAAATAAGTGGGTTGTTAGTTAGATGGATCATGATTGGTTAATATTAAATACTTTACATTGGTAAAATATCTAATTTATCCAATCATAAAATATAGTTTAGATCAGGTTCCAATAACTTAAAATTGCAATTCGAGGCTTATAGCTAAAAGAGTGTGTCTACCTGAAATTGGGTGGAAGTTGGACCCCATTGTGAGGGTGTCGATACAAGACGAACAGAACAGACAGTCTTCTCCCAGTCCCCCCTCAGCACTCGATCCGTTTTTGTAGCCCCCCATCATTACACTATCGTTGTCACAATCTTCCTCGTTATTATCATTTTGTTTAAGATTATGATTACTATGATTATCATTTTTATCGATATTAATTTTTGGCTGCTGCTGCTTCTGCAATTGCTGCTGTAGTGATGATTGTTGCACCTGGATTGGTGCATTGATTGGGTTGTTGAGGACATTGCAGCAGAAAGTGCACGAAGTCTTCTTCACTATCTCTATATCTGACTGTGTTGCAGGTGGTTCAGCGGGAAGCAAGGCAACTCGAGGTCGCTCACGACACAGCAGGAAGCTGTATTTCTGTATTAAAAAACAAAGAGGTTGACCGGGGAACACAGCGACATGTGTTGATGTGGTCGACTTAAGTGTCGACCTAATCGGGATTTATTAGGGGGGAAGGGAGGGGGGTTTGAAAGAGCAGACAGGAACGAGTTTAATCATCTCATAAGTTTCGTCGCTTATCTCTTCTAGGTCGAACGATTCTTACAAAAACAAACTAAAACGTTTCAGGTTTAGTTTATCAAATAGTTTTTTGTGGTGAAGTCTCCTCATTCAGCAAATCAACCTATGATAATAACGTACGAAAAGTAGCAGGTTATAAATTGGGTATAGTGATAGAGGAAAATGTTCTCGAGAAAGGGGTATATATCCGCGCCCACCATCCCACAAAAAAAGCGCGTGATAATGCTTTAATTTAATACTACTCGGCTAATGCTTTGTCTGAAAACCGGTTGAAGCGACCCGTGTTGACAAAGGCAAGCCAAAAATTATGTTTCATGTATAATTACTAACAGTTATTGTTGACCTGTCAAAGGATGTGACCTTCACTTTCATATTGACATCGTTTCCTTGAAGACTCATTTTCCACTCATTCTTCTTCAGTTTTTCAACCCCTTTCCCAAATGAAACTGAAGCTTCTTTGTCGTTTGTTTTGGTTCGGATCAAGAGAAAAGTTCTCTTCCACGGCACAGAACAGTAGAAGTCCTGAAATTTTCCAGATAAGGATTGAATTACTCACTGGACTAAATTTGACTTAATCAGTTTTATACGAAAGGCGCGTATCAATGCAGAGTCCCAATTGTTCCAACTGCGTTTGAAATAATTTTTTGATTCATTTTTTCTAGCGTTTTTATAGCTTGTAAGTTTTTTTTTAAATCCGGCTCTTATACCATTCAAAATTGAATTGTGGCTCGCGTCGTGATCCAAATTGAGTCAGAAGATACAAAATATCACTTAATTATACCAAATGGGAATGCGGGAAAAAAATTCACAAAAAGTTTTTTTTTAAATAAATTTTATCTCTTTTTGAGAAAGAAAGAAAGAATTTATTTCTCACTGTTAATGGGAAATAAATTCTTTCTTTCTTTCTCAAAAAAAGATAAAATTTATTTTAAAAAAAAACTTTTTGTGAATTTTTTTCCCGCATTCCCATTTGGTATAATTAAGTGATATTTTGTATCTTCTGACTCAATTTGGATCACGACGCGAGCCACAATTCAATTTTGAATGGTGTAAGAGCCGGATTTTAAAAAAAACTTACAAGCTATAAAAACGCTAGAAAAAATGAGCGTCAGTATTTCCCAAATTGGTCAAATTAACACTTTTTAAATTACCATATCTTAGAAAAAATGATCACAGGTGAAATATCTTTTTAAATTTTAAGCACAAAATTGCTAGTTCAACTAAAACTGCTATTTTAAAAGTTGAACTTATGAAGAAAGTACGACCACCAGCAAAAACGTTCCGTCGTTTTGTTATAAAATTGAAATAATTGTTATACATGAAGTTAGATTTCTTTATGCTTGGTAGTTTTGGCTCTTTTCCACCCTCCCCAAAAATTCAAACTTTCTATATTTTTATATGTTTTACGTGTTATAAGGACAAAATACGTGACTTTTTCAAATGTGGGGGGGGGGATTGGAAAATTGTTTTCAAACAATTTAGCAAAGCATTTTTGACAAAATTTTTCATAACAACAAATGTAAGTTATGACTCCTGAGCTTAAAAGTAAAGAAATACATTTCACCTGTGATTATAATTTAGTATTATTTGAAAGTTTGAAAATGCCACTTCAAACAATTTGTGATAATAAATACACAATGTATTTCATACAAGTTTTTCCGATCGAGTTGACGCAAGATACTTGGTGCCACTGGCACGAACGGATCTATGATTTTATCGAGGGAGTGGGGGCGTATTTTTTGTCAAAAATTTTTTTGGCAGAAACAAAATGGTTTTAAAAGGTGTTCTAAAATTGAAAAAAAAACTGTACTGATGCAAAAAAAAATTAAAAAATTAAAAAACGTATCAATAACAACTTTTCCCCTTCTTTTAATTGTTATTGAAGTCTCAGTGGTAAACGTTCAGCTTCTTGCCTCTTCGTGTCTTGCTGGGTTGAAAGGGGGGATGAGTCTCAGTTGAGTCTGTGCGTCAGAGAAGATGATCGAGTCTAGTGATGAGTCACTGCCTGACATGCGCTCACAAAACACTGAAAATAAATAAGAAAAAAAAATCTTTTAAAAAAAATGGACAGAAACCTTATTTTGAAAAATGCAATTTGCCATTTTTGCATATTTTGGAGGTAACTTTTAGATTTAAGTGACTTTTAGGTAACCTCAAGTTACTTTTTCAAACAATGAGACAAAAAAATTATTTTGAAAATTCTGCATGAAATTCAAAAGCACGACGAAAAAATTGCACGCAAACTTCAGTTGTTATGAGTCTTTTCAATTCTTATATCAGATAATCAAAAAAAACTTTTTGTTGCAACTAAAACTAGAGACAATCGAAAACAAAAAAAAATAGATAACGAAATGAAAAACGGATAGCAAAAGACAGAAAGAGTATGCAAATCATATTAAAATCATATTGAAAGGTCGGGAAGTGGCAATCACGCCAAACTTGCAAGAACTAGAAAACATTTTTACCAAAACAATTATGGACTGATGCAAAACAAAACAAAAGAATTTTTTTTTTCAATATTAGAAGTTTTTTATTGGGTAAACGCAAAAAGTCTGCTATTATAGGTCAAGGAAAAATAAGAAACTTTAATCGTTTTTTTTTTTGCTAATATAGGACATCATTTGTCTGAAAAAAGTTTAACCTGACATCTTTGTCTAAATTTATCAAGCGATTTCCTCAAAGTTTCTGCTTTCTGAAAACAAGCGAAAAAGAAGTCTCGTTGATTTTTTGTAAACTTCATACAAAAAATAGTTGTTTTTCTGGGTTGAAGTTATTTGTCAAAAAAACTTTAAAATGCATCAACATAATAAATGACAAAAAAACGATAAATAAATGTTGGAGCAAACTGTTTTTCCAGACTGATTAAGTTAGCCAAAGTAAAGCCAATTCATAAAAATGGAACACAGAAAAATGTAGATAACCATAGTTCAACATCTCTTTTACCAGTTTCAAGCAAGATTTTCAAAAAACTACTCCACAAACGCATTATTGATTTTTGAGATAAATTAATTTTGGTGTCGGAGCTAATTTTTCTACAGTAAATGTTTTAAATCATTCCTTTGGTCACTTATATTCACTTTTTACTAGTTTGTAATCGTCTACCAACTATTAAGAATTCAGCAAACACATGTCTAAACGCTGGCAAAACAGCAAGGAAGCAAAAAGAAAAAAACTTACACCAATACAATAATGATATATCAAAAATAGGAAACAAGTTAAAAATCAAAAAATTAAATTGGCACCTTGATAAAACAACAAACATAATTTTTGATATAGAAAAATCATAGAAGCAGATAGTTCAAAAAAGAAAAGATGATAATTAAAAATGCTTCAATACTAAAACTCTGGGCATTCACAATCGAAAACTTCATGTTCCGCATTGACCTTTTTCGTCAAAAAATGAATAATTTTTTGTCAATATAGTTTAATTTTGTACGTTTGCTCCTTTATCATCATTATAACTGCTCAAAACTATTTATTTCTCTTTGTTCCTGCGTTTTTTTTCACGTAGCAGAGAACAGATACTATGAAACTTCAAATGCTAGAAACGTGTTTATAGAAACCAGCTCTGTTAATTGCGAGTTGTTAAATTTACAATTCATTCACCATGTCAATAATTGTTACGTTATAACAAAGTTAAATAGTTTTTTCAAAAAAACCTTAAATTTGTTAGGAGGTGCAAATGAGATTATTTTTCCTAATTTATTTGCGCTTTAGATAAATCGTAATTAATTTGCAAAAGCAGTGGTCGAGTTTTGAGTTTGCTAAAAATTGTTTCAAAGTTTTGTAGACGTGTTTTTCATACTGTACATTTAAGAATTTCGAAAATAGTTTAAAAAATTTCTAGTTGTTTTACATGTTTTTATGTGCTTTACATAATCCAAGTTTGTTTTGAAAACGAAGCAGTTATGTTTTGAGTTTACGAAAAAAGCTAGAAAAGTTTGTAGATGAGCTCTTCATACTGTGCATAGAAACATAGCAATTTTTTATACAGTATTTTCTATTTTTGCTAGTAGTCTAACGTGTTTTTATGGCTGATTATGTAATATTTTATGTAAATCATAAAAAAAATGAGTTCACAATTATTATTTTTGTTTACGTTGCCAATATGAATACGGTAAAGTACTTTTTATTCCGAACACTCAAAGTGCCCATTTTTTGTATTTATTTGTGTTTTAGTTTTTTTTTCTTTATTCTGGTATGCACGCAAAACCAGGTATCAAAAGTAAATCTCAGAAAAGGTAGAGATAAATATCATATCAAAACCTTTGCAGTTGTTACAGATGTTATTGGGTCCCTTATTTTTCTAAAGTTTCCGCAGCATAGTGAGGAAATTTTTTTTAGTTATTGGGCTAATCATGGAGAAAAAAAGAGCGTTCAGTACTATAGCTCGGAATCATAATGTAAGATTTTTCTTAATTCCAGGATCCTAAAATTTTGAAGCTACTTTTGGCGCGTTCTTGATTTTTTTTTTATTTTCGATTAATCCTTCATAGAAACCATTTTCAATCTTTATAGAAACTTTTTCAATTCTTTTCTATTTTCAACCCACCTCTCAATTTTTATTTTGTAAAAACTATCTTAATTTATCATGATGCATTGAAATTTGACATGATGAACAAGCAAACAGCGAACAATTGTGAATAGATATGTTCTTCATACTGTACCTTGTATTGTAACGCGTTTAGCCAAATTACACCTAAAAGACTAATAAGAAATGCAAAATTGAAATGTTGGTTAGTGGAAAAAAAAAACAATTTTCTTTTATCACTACCTTCGAACTTTTCCTTTAAAGTGTTCTTTTTTACGATAGGCCGAGGTTATTAAAATTTACATGCGGTCTAATTGGGCCATGCCAATCATATTCCTGAAAAAGGTTGAGGGCTCTTTTTCCTTTTCCCCCCACCTGCAAATTTTTATATTTGAAGTTACTGTTCACTTTGACCAATTGTCATGAAAAGTGACATGCAGACTAATTAGGCCATGACAAATTTATTTGGTTTTCATAATCAACCTTGTAAAACCACTCGTTAGACCATAAAGTTCAAGTTTGAGTGAGGTGGGGGGGAAGGAAAAAGAGCCAGGTTGAGGAGGACAACGTCGTGGTTTGTGAATTGACTCTTTTCAATATCACAGTAATTTTCAGATGAAAAAAGCAAACACCATGACAGCGATAATTAAAACGTAATTTCAAATCACCACCAAGAATGTTTTCCTCAATGTGTACAAGGGTCTGATAAAACCAAACCTAGAACATTGTAATCAAGCCTGGCATCCGAAATTGAAAAAAATATGTGAATGTACTAGAAAGTGTCCAACGGAGTGCAACAAAACTTATCAACGGGTTGAAGTCAAAAGTTAGTGTAAAAGATTGAAAGAACTGGATTTTGCAACTCTGGTGTACCGCGGCAGACGCAGGACCACGATCGAATAGTAAAAAGCATGCCACGAAAAAAAAATCGGACAGCGATTAGGAGACTTTTTGAATCAAATGAAACAGCTGCAAAGTCAAGACAATCAAAGCAGAGCTAGAACCAAAAAAAAAATATTTTTTCGCACAATTTTTTTGCACTAAGAGCAACAACAGACTGGAACAATCCACCCGAGGAGGTTGTCGCGAAAAACTCAATCAGTTCAAAGCAAAAAACTGGAATCATTTTATACAAAATAAACAGGAGAAGAAACTTATGAGCTGATCACCAGAGGCCTATTGATCAGTATTCGGTTTGAATTGAACTGACTACATTCGGTCTTCATACTTAAACATGTAAAATTACTCGTTACACCATAAAATTTATATTCATTTGAGGTGGGTATGTGGGAGGAAAAAGAGGAATTGGCGTATTCTACTGTTACTATAGACCTATTTATATTCTAGGCTTTCTTTCAGATCTTTTCACAGGCGAACGAGCAAAAAACATTACAATTTGCAAAAAAAGAACCATTTTTAAATGAATTTTTGTAATCGGAATTTTCTGTGGCATTTTCACAGCATCCTTTGTGCTTTTTTCACAACATCGGCTATACTTGTTATGAATGAAATTGAAAAATTGTGGGGAACCTGTAAAATTTTTTTTAGTTATTGGGCTAATCATGGAGAAAAAAAGAGCGTTCAGTACTATAGCTCGGAATCATAATGTAAGATTTTTCTTAATTCCAGGATCCTAAAATTTTGAAGCTACTTTTGGCGCGTTCTTGATTTTTTTTTTATTTTCGATTAATCCTTCATAGAAACCATTTTCAATCTTTATAGAAACTTTTTCAATTCTTTTCTATTTTCAACCCACCTCTCAATTTTTATTTTGTAAAAACTATCTTAATTTATCATGATGCATTGAAATTTGACATGATGAACAAGCAAACAGCGAACAATTGTGAATAGATATGTTCTTCATACTGTACCTTGTATTGTAACGCGTTTAGCCAAATTACACCTAAAAGACTAATAAGAAATGCAAAATTGAAATGTTGGTTAGTGGAAAAAATAAACAATTTTCTTTTATCACTACCTTCGAACTTTTCCTTTAAAGTGTTCTTTTTTACGATAGGCCGAGGTTATTAAAATTTACATGCGGTCTAATTGGGCCATGCCAATCATATTCCTGAAAAAGGTTGAGGGCTCTTTTTCCTTTTCCCCCCACCTGCAAATTTTTATATTTGAAGTTACTGTTCACTTTGACCAATTGTCATGAAAAGTGACATGCAGACTAATTAGGCCATGACAAATTTATTTGGTTTTCATAATCAACCTTGTAAAACCACTCGTTAGACCATAAAGTTCAAGTTTGAGTGAGGTGGGGGGGAAGGAAAAAGAGCCAGGTTGAGGAGGACAACGTCGTGGTTTGTGAATTGACTCTTTTCAATATCACATTAATTTTCAGATGAAAAAAGCAAACACCATGACAGCGATAATTAAAACGTAATTTCAAATCACCACCAAGAATGTTTTCCTCAATGTGTACAAGGGTCTGATAAAACCAAACCTAGAACATTGTAATCAAGCCTGGCATCCGAAATTGAAAAAAATATGTGAATGTACTAGAAAGTGTCCAACGGAGTGCAACAAAACTTATCAACGGGTTGAAGTCAAAAGTTAGTGTAAAAGATTGAAAGAACTGGATTTTGCAACTCTGGTGTACCGCGGCAGACGCAGGACCACGATCGAATAGTAAAAAGCATGCCACGAAAAAAAAATCGGACAGCGATTAGGAGACTTTTTGAATCAAATGAAACAGCTGCAAAGTCAAGACAATCAAAGCAGAGCTAGAACCAAAAAAAAAATATTTTTTCGCACAATTTTTTTGCACTAAGAGCAACAACAGACTGGAACAATCCACCCGAGGAGGTTGTCGCGAAAAACTCAATCAGTTCAAAGCAAAAAACTGGAATCATTTTATACAAAATAAACAGGAGAAGAAACTTATGAGCTGATCACCAGAGGCCTATTGATCAGTATTCGGTTTGAATTGAACTGACTACATTCGGTCTTCATACTTAAACATGTAAAATTACTCGTTACACCATAAAATTTATATTCATTTGAGGTGGGTATGTGGGAGGAAAAAGAGGAATTGGCGTATTCTACTGTTACTATAGACCTATTTATATTCTAGGCTTTCTTTCAGATCTTTTCACAGGCGAACGAGCAAAAAACATTACCATTTGCAAAAAAAGAACCATTTTTAAATGAATTTTTGTAATCGGAATTTTCTGTGGCATTTTCACAGCATCCTTTGTGCTTTTTTCACAACATCGGCTATACTTGTTATGAATGAAATTGAAAAATTGTGGGGAACCTGTAAAAATGACCTTTGCAAAATTTTTAGTGATTTTGTTGTTTAGGCTAGTTGGCTCTTCTCTTATGTCCTTCCTCCTCTTTAGTTTAAAAAAAGGGCTCTTTTCCAGTTTCCTCCCCCTTTCAAATTCAACTTTGAAAAGCTTATTTAACCTTGTCGTAATGCAATGAAATTTGGCATGGTGAACAAATCAACAACTGTGAACAGATTTGTTCTTCATACTTTACAGCGTAACATCACGCATTTAGCCGTATTAACATACGTAAAACAAACATAAAACTCGGTTTTTTGAAAGGTGGGGGGGAAACTGGAAAATAGCCAAAAAAAGCTGTTTGGTCACCTGTTCACACTGACACGTTTTAAGGCAGTTTATAGACTCATCATGATATTGTTATCAATGAAATCCAAATGTTTTTTTGACGAATGAGTAGTTATAAAGAATTAAACCGTTTTGAAAACAAACAAAAAATTAATAAAAAACCTAGAAACAAAAAGGCTTCGTCTCTATCCCCCCTCCCTCACCTCACACGAGCATCAATTTTACGGTGTAACGAGTGATTTTACAAGGTTAATTATGAAAATCAAATATGTTTGCCATGGCCGTATTAGTCCGTATGCCAATTTCCAAAACAATCGAATCATGTGAACAATTTTTTTTTTGTAAAATTTTGCAGGTGGGAGAAAGGAAAAAAATCTAAGGCTTGTCATTGTTTTAGTGGCTCTTTTCCAGTCCCCCCTTTTTTTCTAAAATTCATTTCATGAAAGTCTATTTAAAATGACTTTTCATGTTAGAAACTGCAATGAAACGTGTCAGCGTGAACAGGTGAACAAACTTCTACAACATTTCTAACATGTAACCTGTCGTGTGAAAATTGTTTGAACATCTTTGTTTTGTAATTTAACAAGGGGGTGGGAAACTGGAAAAGAGCCGTTTTAGTTTATGGAAAAATACTCACATGCATTATCACGCCTGGTCATTTATCTCAAAAAATTAGAAATTATGCCTGATAAAAGTTTTTACCGAGTTTTTACATAAAAGATTTAAATGAGAAAGTGCATGGGCAGGAAACGACGCGTCTCTTTTACGCTGGAAAATATTCGCTCGTCCTGAAGAATTGACCAAAAAAATTTTTTGTAGCAACCGATTTAGGAAGACTTGCCTTTGTATACAGCTGTGTGACATCCATCTTCAGACGTGACCTCAAGTTTGACCTCTTTTTGACCTCCCTTTCCCAGACTGAGAGTTTTCCCATTGCCAGGACAGCCTCTGAAGTCACACGAGGCGCCCTTGTCTCTCGTCAGCCAATCAAAACGCACCTGATCTTCTCGTGCGCCCAATAGTAACGAATATGTATAAACATTGGTGTCAAAATCCGGTTTCAAAACACCAGCACTAACTGTGAATTTCTGCAAACTTGTGTCGTCCATTGAATTTACTGCAGTAAAAAATTTATATCTGAGTCCTCTTGAAAATAAGAGAGTTTTTGAAAAGATCGAGATGCCATATAAAAACTAGCTAAGCATAAAACAAAAGGTGCATATGATTATGTTAAACATATTAGTACAGATAGAGTAAAGAAAAAAAACAGCACGTGCTCCTGGTTTATTCATACTATTTTTAAACAGAATCGGACCTCTATTAATCTTTAATAATTTGTTTGTTGGTTGTATGGATATCCACCATCGTAACTCATAAATAAGAGACGTCTCATCTGTTTTCACTCTCACTTGTTCTGAAAAGAGTTTGAAGAAGATACTGCAATTGTTATCAACTCTATTTACAAACCACCTCCGAAAATCAGGGTGTCAAAATGAGGACGAACGAAGGAAAGTTTGTAGACCGGAATCCTACAGTCCCAACAGTAAGTATAATTAACAATCAATTAATTAAATTTTTTCTGCGCTTAATCAACTAAGTTCATCAAATACTTCAGTTCTATTTTGCTGTTTTTTGAGATATGTCCGAATATTCAAAACCAATTTTATCAATAATTTGGGGCAAATTGTTTTTAACTCGAACTGCTTCGTATGTCTTTGTAAGCCTTGGAGTTTGCATGTTGTTTTTTCTGCGAATTGAAGAGTAGTTTTTGAGGCAAAATCAAAAATTATAGAAAAAAAATATATTACCAAAAAACTCGATTTAAGGAAATCAAATGCGTAATATCTCCTATGGCTCCTTTTCAGTTTCTCAGTCGACGTGATTTTTCCGGCCATTGAAAATGGGGAGGAACTTTATATTCTGGTGTGTTTGATTTTTTATCCACGCAAAATCAGGTACCACAAACTATCATCGGACTGGTTTGAGTGATATATTGTATCAAAGTCCTATCAGCCGTGATTCGAACCACACTGCAAAACTTCCAAACATTTTTTCCAATGTCGAGAAAATCCGGTTTGAAATTTTTGACCTTTGTCTTAATTCGAGTTTATAAAGCAAGCGATCAGCTTTTGTTGTTATCCACGCAAAATTAGCTTCCACAAGATCATTGGACTAGGTTGAGGGCTCTTTTTCCTCTTCCCCACCTGCAAATTTTATAATTAAAATTACTGTTCGCCATGTCCGATTGTAATGAAAATTGACATGCAAATAAATTAGGCCATGACAAAAATCTTTGGTCTTCATAATTAATCTTGGAAAATCACTCGTTAGACCATAGAATTGATGCTCATGTGAGGTGGGGGAAAAGGAAAAAAAGCCAGGTTGAGTTATATATAATAATAAAGCCCGTTTAATCGTGATTCGAACGATTTAAAAAAATTTGAAAAAAAATCCTTGGTGAGAAAAACCGGTTTGAAAGTTTAGATTTTCCGTTTAATTTCGAGCGAGTGATCAGGCTTGGCTCTTTTCCAGTTTCCCACCCCCCTCGTAAAATTACAAAACAAAGCTGTTCATAAATTGTTCACACGGCAATTTGCATGTTAGAAATGTTGTAGAAATTTGTTCACCTGATCACGCTGACACGTTTTAATGCAATTCATAACATCAAAAGTCATTTTCAATAGATTTTCATTTATTGGATTTCAGAAAAAATCAAAGAGGGGGGGGGGACTGGAAAAGATCCTCAGGCTTACATTAGATTTTTTATGCTTAATTTAAGCCTTGAATATTTAGTTTTACTCCGATAAAGTTAGCTTTTGAAATTTATTTTCATCTTAGAAATCAAAAGTTTACAAAAATTTGGGAAAAAAAAATTTTCCTAAAATTTTTTAAAAAAAAAATGTAATTTTTTTTTCTTGTGTTTTTTAAGTTATTTGTCTGCAAAATTTGGATCCAATTTGCATATTTTACAATGACTAACAAAAATGCCTAAGCTTTACTTTTTCGCTCAGGTTCCTTTATCACACCAAGCCCAAAAAACGATACTAATTGGAAAAACAATTTTGCTGTAACTTTTTAGGACTGGTCGGAACACTCTGTGCTACTTGCACAGTAACCGGCTATCCTTGTTTTACAAATTAAAACTGTTCAAACATTATTCACAAAGCAACGTGAATTTAAAAATGTGTAGAATGTGCTTTATGTTCTTATTTGCAAATTTCACTTTCCTCTTAAATGTAATCATTTTCAAAAGTCATTTTTTTAATATTTACAAAAATTCATCGCATTATGGCAATGGAAAAATTGTTTTCGAACGCAGAACAACGACTGTGGAACAAACGCAGAAAAGAGCCGAAAAGTTCAATATGGGGAGAGTGTTTGATCCAGCTTCTGAGATTAGCGAGAAAATCACTTCATAAAAAGTAGTTAAGAAAGCTAGTTCTGGAAACCTTGTCTGCAAAATTTGGCTCTTTTACAGTCCCCCGATATTTTCTGGAAATTCAAAGTATGAAAGCCTATTTAATATAATATGACTTTTCGTGTTATAAACTGTGTTTACACGTGCCAGCATGAACAGGTGAACAAATTTGCACAATTTTCTTAACATGCAAAATGCCGTGTAAACAACTTTTGAACAATTTTGTTTTGTAATTTTACGAGGGGATGGGAAACTAGAAAAGGTGGGTCCTTCCATAAATGATTACACCTTATTTCAAGTTGAAAAGGCCGAAATGACCTTAAGAAAAGTATTTTTTTTTTCAATTTTTGTAAGCTCTTAAAAATTGCACCAATAAGTCTGAACTGAGTTCAATTCGAAGAACGGGTTGAAGAAACATTCTCTGTTTAAGCGTTTATTCCCCCATATTTAGTAGAGAAGTTAATAATTTTTTTGGTTATATTCCAATCAGTACAATATACTCTAAAAAAAATCAAACGTATGCATCCAGCTTTAGCTGGTCCTCTAGTTCTTTTGTAAAATTAATTTGAGTGTGATTTTTTACATCCTTTTCCGGCAACCCCGTGAATCTATTCTGAAAAACGAACGAAATTAAACCAGTTCTGCTAAAGGCAGAGAGAAAGTTTTGGAAATTTTTTCTGAGCTCTGAAACACGACTAAAATTTTGATGTTAATCAACTTGAAATCTACCGGCTTACCAAAAACGGCAAAGACAAAAGCTCTTTTCCAGTTCCCCTCAAATTTTTTATATAAATGTCTATTTAACATTTCTGTTTTTGTTACAAACTGCATGAAAACGTATCAGCGTGAACAGGTGAACAAATTTTTACAACATTTATAATAAGAAAAATGCTGGGTGAAAAAATTTTGAACAGCTTTATTTTGTAATTGTAAAAGGGGGACTGTAAAAAACTTGCTCGTAAGTTGTCGAGAAAATTAAAAGAAGAAACTGTGCTTTTCCTTTTTTGCGACTCGAATCGTAACATGCAATCAACAATTCTATAATGTAAAAATTGCCCACTTGTTTGCTCTTTTCAACCCCCGCCCCTCATTTCAAACTTTCAATTGCTTTAGCTGTCTGACTGCTGAATGAGTGATCGTACGATGTAAAGGCTCTTTTCCAGTCCCCCTTTCAAATTTACGAATTTTATATTTGTATTACGTGTTATTACGGCTAAATGCGTGATGTTACGGTGTAAATTATGAAGAACAAATCTGTCGATTTGTTCACCACGCCAAATTTCATTGCATTGTGACAACGTTAAAACTACTTTTCAAAATTGAATTTGAAAAGGGGGGAAACTGGAAAAGAGCCGATGTAAAGTATGAAGAACAAATGTGTTCACAAGTTAATTTTTTCACCATGCGAAATTTCGTTACATTGTGGCAAAGTCAAAATCGTTCCTCAAAACTCAAATTCAATTGTGGGGTAATAGAAGAAAATAGCCCACTTGTTCACGCTGACACGTCTTATTGCAGTTTGGAACATCAAATTTCTTTTCAAATAGCTTTTGTGACTCGAACTTCGGAGAAAATTGAAAAAGGGAAGCTGGAAAAGATCCGAAGCATAATTAATCATCTAATTTGATTGAGTATATGTGCATCAAAATAAGTTAAATAAAAACTGCTACAAATTAGAATTTGATAACTGCTGTAAATTTCTAGGCTGGCAAATGTTTCGATAGTGTCGGCTCAGTGCCAGAGTGTGTGCAGGCTTACAACCCAGACAAAGGTGAGAGTCCGGCAGTTACAAAGAGGTACCGAGCCACTTATGAGCCAGATGTTGGGGCCACCACAGTACACTATGGCAAGGCAGCAGACAAGGAACAGTTTATGGCCCAGGTCATGACTCACGGGCTAGTGTCCAATGCAAACCCACACACGGTTAGCAATGAGCCATACATACCATACAATCAGCACAGCAGTACCTGCATATGACCGCTTCATCTAGTTAATAAAAAGTGCTCGAATTTGTTCATGGGTGATTTCCCACGTCGAAAAAACGTTCAAAAGAACTGCTAAAAAAGTTCGTGTGGTTTGGACACTTTGCTAGCAAGATATGGGCGGTTTAAGCAACTTTCTGGTGTTTTTTTACTAGACTGAATGATGTCTAGTGTAATTTATATTGCTTAAGTATTTTGCTGCCTTGATTTTCAACTAATTTGTATTGTTGCGTTGTATTGTGTAGGCGGCCGAGTGTGTGAATCCGGATCCGAAGACACTGTTCCAGCAGAGGGTGGCTGACAAGAAGGAGTCCCTCTACCTCTCCCACCAGACCAGACCTCTGGGCCAAGTGCCAGACCAGACTCCCAACCTACCAGAGGGCACAGACATCTATGAAAAACAGTTCGGCAGACCAGGAGAGAAAAGTGAGTTCTTTATCGCATCTACTTTAAAACACGATTGGATCATGTTAACTATTTCCCTCCAATTGCAATAGGGGGGAAATAGTTAGCAAGGTTTGGATGAAATTTAATGAAATAACGTCAACCAATGGTAATGCGACAGAATACATTTCTGAGAAATACGAAACCAATCCAGTTGAGCATAAATGAAATGTGTTTTTATAGGGAGGAGATTCTTTACAAGGTACCATAGCGGGGGGGGGGGGGGATAGTTAACATGATCCACAGGATTTTTTTCTGTCGTAGAATGATAAAGTTTAAACGGTGAAAAGTTTATCTTAAGCATTGTTTTTTTTTGTGTATTCTGATAAATTGATTCTATTTTTTTGCCTATCCTTTGTTTAGAGACAAAACTTGATATTATAATTTAGAAACGATCCTGATCTAGTTTATGTTCGAAAAATGCCCAAACTTGGGATGATATGAGTGATTTAAAGCAACTTTTGAGCAGTTTTCAGCTATTAAAAAGCCGATTAAACCGCTCATTCTGAAACAAAAAGTTTTCCAGGGGGCTTAAAAAAATAAGAAGATCTGGCGACGATTTATTAGTTCCATCAGATTTATTTTGCGAGATCCTCGAAGACACTCTGAGGTGATACTTAAAAAAACAGGCTGCATAGAAAAACAACAGCGTGTGTGTGTTTGCAGACGAGTACGCAGGTGAGTTGATCAATCCCCCCAAGAGCAGCAAAGAGGTAGAGGAGGAGTCAAAAGTGGGCAAGGACTTGTACGAGAAGAGCCACGCCTCCTGGGATGCAGGCGAACAGGTGAAACACCCCCCCCCCCCCCCCCCCCCCCCCAATTTTTCAATACACAATTGATTAAAAGATGTGATTGGTTCTAGAAACTGAAATGAATCATGCGCCAGTCCAAACGATAAGTTGCGATAAGCTACTATGTAGAGCTAGTACTAGTAATAAAAACTACTTGCAGTCTTTTTTTTCAAGCAACTGTATAAAGCATAATATAGCATTGCAATAAAGAGATGTGTGTGTTAATTGTGGGGGCGCATTAGGTGACTCGTCACTACGACTGGTCCAGATGGGACCCCTCCAACCGATTCGGAGAGCCAACACCTTCGGACGAGCGTGGAAAACACGTCAAGACCATCATGTATTGGCACGCGCAGAAGAAAATGTGAGTTAAAGAAAAAGAAAATGATTTCACATCAAGCTTAAGTCACTCAAAAATGACGTCATTCAAAGTTGTTCCCATTTTCACAAAATTGGACCCTTTTCGACTTTCCCCACAATTTTCTATTTCCATACTAAGGTATTTTTTTTCTTTAAAATGTGCTGTTACGATGCAACGTATAAAGGAACAAGTGTTCATAATAGTTAACACTGTCACCATATACAATTTCATAGCATTATGATTACGTTCAAATAGGTTTTCAAAACTGAATTTTAGATGCGGGGGTTAAAGTGCAAAATTCATGGAGAATACGTTGCTCTAACGGTTTCATAGGTGGGAAACTTTCCATGGCATCTATGGAACCTTATATGCTGCAATTTATCGATGGGTAAATGTTTAGGGCAACCCAAATATATAGCCCACGACTTTAGTGGTTGATCCCATTAGACTTTCAAAGCACTCACTTTGTCAATTCTTAACGACTTGTAATATTTCAATCACACACAGTCAGGGGCGGATCTAAGATTTTCTCGAGGGGGGGGCGGATTTTCAAAAAATTTTCCAAAATTTTGACGACCTTTTTTTTTTTTTAGGTCGACCAAATTGATTTTTCGAGCTCTCCCAAAGCACTGTTTTGCCGCAATTTTGGCAAAATTTTCTGCGCCGCAGGCAAATTTTTGAAAAAACAGTCAAAAAAGCCGTTTTTGGGCACTTTTTGATAAATTTAAAAATTTTGACAAAAAATAGCGTTTTTTTTGGCGCGCGCTCCCCCTCAAAGTTAGTATATATTGGCGCCGAAGGCGCCTTTAGAAAAATTTTAGGGTCGGTCTGCCAAAAATGGATTTCTGAAAAAGTATCAAAGGGGGGACCCTTTGGGTCGACAGGGGGTCGAATCCCTGAGGGGGGGGGGGGCGTCCGCCCCCCCGCCCCCCCCCCCCCCCCCAAATCCGCCCCTGCACACAGTACAGTTTGATCAAAATAATTCATTCATTTTTTTTTCAGTTGAGGGAAGATAACATATTTGATATCAGTTTTTGCAGTTTGTTGCTTCAGTTGAAACATTGATTTTGAAGTGTTTTCTTGTTTTCTTTTCAAGTTTGCCTCCGGAACGGGTCATTTCCAAACGGTGAGTGACCATGCATTTCATGTCCCTATCATGGACACCCTCTTGAGCAATTGAAGTGTGCTTCATGCCCGTCTATGGTCATAATGGCGTTAAAATAGTTTTAAGGTCATGGTGGATGTGGTAAGATATGTAATTGGTGCACTGCTGCACTACACACACACAACACTGCCGGTGTTTTTGTCCTAGCAGATGTCTCGAAATGCACGAAATCAAAAAATATATATAAAGTACGCACGCCCCCCGCATTAAAAACCAGTAGTAAGAAAGAACAAAAAAAAAGATCTTTCAACTTCTTCGAGCCCAACCAAGCGCGGATCTTGGAGTTTCTCGAGGGATGAAGTGGTTTTCAATAGAATTTTGAAATTTGTTTGCCGTTTTTTTCGTTTACCAGTTGATTTTGAGTTGCCAATTGAAAACACCAAAAGACGTTATTTTGAAAAATTACTCTGCATGTCAAGCAATTTTTTTGAAAAACAGGTCAAAAATTCATTTTTTTTAGCACATTTGGAGGGTTTTTGAGAGCGCGCTATCTCTTAAAATGGAACAATACTTGCACCAATTATTTGTTTAGAAAACTTTTTAATGCTGGTAAAAATAATGATAGAACAATTAAATGGCGATTTCTCATGATTACGCTTCATCCAATATCTTACGGATATCAAAATTTGAAAAAATTTAGTAGCAATTGCAAAACAAAACATCACTAGCGACACACAAAAAGGTCAAAATTAAAAAAATAATTTTTTTCTGACTTTTTTTGTTTTTCTTATTTTTTGCTGATTCTTTTATGTAGAACAACCAATTGAAAATCTTATCTTAGTCGCGCCCAGTTTTTATCTTAGTCGGAACAAAGTGTGTCTCGGCCGCTAAGATTTGTCGCGGATCTCGACCGGGAAAATATTTAAAGATTTTTAAGTTTTGCCTCTCAACATACAATTCAAAACAAAGTTTTGATTATGCTTATGACCCTTGTGTGATAGCATTGGTTGCTTAAACTTGAAATATGCGAGCATGGCGGCACTCGTTTCTACTCTCAATCATTATGTTCTGTTTTTGTTGAAAATGGTTTAAATTTGTTGTGAAGTTGAGAATATGGGCTAGCTGATTGGTTGATTATCTTAGGGATGAAGGAGCCATAATTGAGGAGAAGGTCCTGGATGGACACCGGGAGAAATACACGGACCAGCTGGGCCAGACCAGAGACCCGTGAGTAGATCTGAATCATTTTCATATTTTTGATTATCTGTCGGAAGTAAATCAATTGGTATAATTGGCAATTTTTAGAATAACTTCGGTCAAATAAATAAAAAGACATTTACACAATACAAAAACTGACGGGATTGTTTGACGTGCAAGATGGTATATGCAGTAACATACTGTTTTCAACTTATTATGATTGTCATAATTGCCCTTACCTGTTGGTAAGCTAATTATGACTAATTGTACTTATAACCACCTATAAGTGAAGAAAACTTTTTTATTTGATGTCATTATACACTTGTGTTGTAGAATAAAAGACACTATGAAAGTGGGACCAGACCACACTTTTGGCATCATAGTGAAGCCAGACGGGTACGGGGTGGATGATCTGCTACATGGGAGAGTGCCCAAACACTACCTGAGGGGTAAAGACAGAGAGAGGGCTCTGATGGCGGCTGTCAGACAGAACCTTAAGACTAATAACTTCAACCGGTTCGATGATGTCGCAGCCGCATTCAACCACTACGACAAGGTACCTGTATCTCCTCCTCGTACCCGGGTCGACGTTTGTGATTAATGTTTCGACTAAAAATCCATAGTCGAGAAGACCGGTTACGTAGCAGTATTTAGACAACCGCGTGTTCAGACTCGTCAGTAATTAAACAAATACCAAATTAACCAATCAGAATCGAGACAAGGAAGAAATGAATAATTAATAATTATTTATTTCGTAAATTTGCTTTCTCATCTCGATTCTGATTTGTTAATATGATAATTGTCTGCTTACTGTCGAGTATGAATACGCGGTTCTCTTAATACAGACCGCTTTCCGAGAAGACCCTATAGACGAACACACAGACGAAACATAAATTCATCATATGCATAAGAGGTATTGAAAAGTTTCAGTCTCAGTTGCCATACTCTAAAGCAAAAATTCAGATCTCGTTTTTCACGTATAATGCATATACAAAATACATCTATGAAGTATAGCTGGGAGGTTGTTCGCTCTAAGATCCACCTATGTTTTATTTGAGAACAATGATTGTCATCCATTCACAATCGCTAAACCAATTTAAGATACAGTTCAACAGTAGCGAGAAGGTGACATCGACGTGCGTGCGTTTGCGTGTAAATTATCCGAAATGAAATTATTAGAATAAAAACTGACGAGTTTTCAGAATATATATGATTTTAATTTCTAATGTTCGAAAAACAAATGTGGTCGGAACTTTCTGGGCTACAAGCAGGAGCGGCTTTAGGGGGGATGGGGGGCGGAGGGCGGACGCCTCCTCCTCAGGGATTCGACCCCCTGCCGACCCAAAGGGTCCCCCTTTGATACTTTTTCAGAAATCCATTTTTGGCCGACCGACTCTAAAGTTTTTCTAATATATACTAACTTTGAAGGTAAGCGCGCGCCAAAAAAAACGCAATTTTTTGTCAACCTTTTTCAAAACGGCTTTTTTGACTGTTTTTTCAAAAATTTGCCTGCGGCGCAGAAAAATGAGCCAAAATAGGGGCAAAACACTGCTTTGGGAGAGCTCGAAAAATCAATTTGCTCGACCAAAAAAAAGGTCGTCAAAATTTTTTTGAAAATCTGCCCCCCCCCCTCGAGAAAATCCTAGATCCGCCCCTGGCTACAAGCTTTATTTGTAGAATATTGTTGAAAACGTATCATATGACAATATAAATTATGTTGTATGGTTTAGGAAGGCAGTGGTAAGCTGAGCATAGATGCCATCAGACAGATGTGTGTGGACTACTGCATCCCAATTGAAGAAGTAGTTCTAGAGAGTCTGTTCGACTTCATGAGGGGGGACAGTCAGGGGGGCAACGGGGGGCAGGAGGGGGGCCAGATAGACTTCGACACCTTCGCCAACTTCCTACACTGGCAGACAACTTCAACTGGCACAGACAGCAACGGACAGAGTAAATTAATTGACTTTATGATTTTTATGAATTTTTGACTCTTATTAATTTTATGAATTTTTGACTCTTATTAATTTTATGAAATTTTGATTCTTTTTATGAATTGTATGAGTCATAATTTTTTGAATTAGGCGTGTGATGTATGAATAAATCACTTCATTCAAGTTCAATTGGTTTAGTTTGAGTTTTTATGGTCTTGTCATCCTCGATATTCTCTTGTGCAATCCGGTCGTATTGTTCCAAAATTGTGGCAAACTGGTTTGTGTTGACTGGTACGGGTCAAAGGTCAGGTTGAATCAGCGGTTGACCTCGTTCAAATTGTTTGAACCCTCTGAGAAAATTAAATTGTACCGTTATTGGTGTGTATTGACCTGCAGCTCAATGGTAATTTGGTTGATCTTAACTTACCTGTTACGTTTTGCGCTGTTGTCAGGAGAGTCCTACGAGGAGACAGGGGAGACTCCTAGGAGGATAGAGAACCAGTTGGACAAACAGCTGGGGGGCTACAAGACATCTGCCTCACAGGTCAACGCAGCAGTCGGAGTAGTCCCCCCACAGCAAGGTTACTTTCACCCTATCACCACTCAACTCACCTTTAATTTATCGCTCTATAATGTGAAACTTGACTTTTGGTTGCTAGGCTATTCAAAATTTAGAACCAATGAATGAATTTTTAGTTACAAACTTTTTTTTAAGTCAACTTTCGGTTAAATATTACAATTGTTTTATTTCTTGATCAGTTTTTGGCCATTTTTCAGATACTTTTGAAACATTTTTTTGTTCAACTTCCGGTAATTTTTGGACTAATTTCAGTCATCTTTTGAATTTTTTGCGATAATTATTGGTTATTTTGGGTTGTTTTTCATCAATATTTCAGTTGAGTGATATCAAATTTTATTGTAGTCATTTTGTCGCAATGTTAAATTAATTACATTATCTGCTGCCTGTACAGACTACCGCACCTACGGCACACCGACTGTGAGAGTGGACAGACCCGCACCCAAGTACAAGAGTGTGAGTGACAGGACCAACTACGGGGATGAGGCGGACGCCTGGGGACTGATGACCCCCAGTGTCTTCACCAACAGTGGCGTCTACGAAGACGACCTCTTCCAACCCAGAAGTCCAGAAGAGGTCAGTACGCACGCAGTCACTGCAAATCAAGCTAATCGTCAAGTAAAAAAGAAAACTAAGAAGGTAAGAAAAGGAGAGGGAGGGGTTGTTGGAAGTTAACATATGGTCTCAAGTTCAAGTCAAGTCGACGTAGGCGCTTTCTGTTTCACTCCCCTGGAATGAGGTATAAATCTTTTCCGATATTGTGCCCAGTTTTTAAAAAAAACACCTCATCCCGGGTCGTGAACCTCAAACCCCCCCCCCCCCCCCCCCCCACCCGCTTGAGTTTTCCAAATTCACGCATAAATCATTTTACTTGCGGTCGGTAATGAACGAAGGTGTGATGGATAAAAACCCCAAAAGTGTAAATTTTTTACTAGTTGAGCCACTGCCTCCGTTTCAATTTTGATACCTAAAACTGATAGAGTGACTCACGAAAAAGTATCAGACTTTTTTTTCCATTCCACCCCCACCCCACATTTCGAACTTTTATTTTTCGTAGTTGTTTCACGTGTTATTATGGCTGAACGCGATGGATGTTACGATGCAGCGTATGAAAAACAAATGTGTTCACAATAGTTCGTTTGTTCACAATGCAAAATTTTTGATGCAAGTTATGACAACGTTAAAAGAGTTTTTTAAAATAGAAATTCAAATGTGGGGGAAAGGAAAAAGAGCAAAATACCAATCAACGCTGCTCGTATTATATTAGGGAGGAAAGGTCACTGTTCCGACTGCCCTTTAAAATGTCTCGGAAGTATTTTGAAACTTTGAAATCATTCCGACTTTAACCTTGATGGCTTCTTGAAATAAAAAACGAGAAATTTTCCCAACGAATAAATAAGTCTCGTGAACTTATTTCGATGAACACAATTTTTCAATTTAAAATTCAATTTCCATTTGATATTACTACCGTTCAGCTGATTCGGATCATATGCTTCGTAAAATGTCATGATGCTGGTGCTTTTTTTGGTATAATAAAACGGTTTGGGCAGCTCTTGGCTTTTACGTATTCAATGGTCTTTTCATCTGTGAAAAACTCAACAAGACTTAAACCCAAAAGTAAATTAGTGGGTCGATTGTTTCATTGTAAAATTTGTAGTATTGCGGTCTGTTGCTAGGTGAAGCGAATCTTCGCCAACATTGGGGAGGATTTTGAGGACGGGTTCTTCTTCGAAGTGTGGAACAAAGCGGCCGAGATGCACCCGAAGGCACTGGTGAACATGGAATGCTTCCGGGCGGCACTCAGAATCATGGGCACAAAAGCACACAAGATTTAACAAGCCCCTCCCCCTCCCCTTGTCCTCACCTTCCCTCCCCCCTCCAACTAGCAATCAGAAGGAGGCCCCCCACTTCACATAACAGATGTGCAGCAGACATTATGAGAGCATATTATATTAAGAATACATTATAAAATCAGGCAAACTCAATCGACTTCCTTCTAAATCCGATGATAATTCAAATAGTGAAATCTGCAGTTTTTAAAAAGTTTCTCAAAGCAAGAAAAAGATCAAAGAGGAAAAAGGTTACACTATTCCTAGCTTTTTAGTTGAAAACTTATATACTGGGGTATTTGCACTAATTTTTGTCTTTTTATGCCGAGTACTTGAACTCCACGAAATCAAATTTATCATAAACTAAAGTAAAACACTGAGCTTGAATATCTTTCTGGAACGAATAATCTCGTTTCGTAATCTTTTTTGTGAAATCAATCTGCTTTTCTGATAATTTCAGTAGCCCATCAAGAAAGAGGGAAAAAGTTCGCCAAAAATGCAATCGAAGCATTTCAAATATGTCTCATTGCAAAATCATTGACCAAAGTCTTCGTATAGCTGACTAAAGTATAGCTGTTTTTGTTCTATTATTTTTCTGACTTTTGTAACGAAAGTAATGGAATATTTGTGCTCGGAGTGGTTTTCTTTAGACAAATTCCACTTTTTAACTAGCCAGTTTTGTCGGATCTTTTTTTATGTCATTCAAAAAGTATTGTTGTCTTGAGCTTTAATTCGAAATGTTATTTCACATGTGATTATTTTGGTGAAGTTATAGGGGTTTAAAGATTGCCATTTTTGTCAATTTGGTACAATTAACCCGCGATAAATTTTGCTCTATTAACGCGTAAGCGGAGATTTAATCCGCCTTAGAAAAAGTTCCGAATTGGTTGAAGGAAGCTTATTTGCCAAAAGTAAATTGCTGCTAGGAGCGAAATCTATCACATTTTGTTTTATGTGGCGTGTGGGGTGATAGTTTTCAGAAAAAAGTTTCAAGATCTAAAATTTTTACTTTTTTTTATTTTAATCCATATAAAACTTTCATTTTATGTTATTACTGCTTACGTAGACCATAAAAGGCAGTCGGAACATGCAGGGCTCCACCAATCATTTTTTATTGTGTTTTGATTGTGTGTTTTGTGAAACACGGTTTCTAAGATGAAGAAAAAACTGCGTTCCAAAATATTGCAAACACAATTAGGAATAGTAAGTGTTTTGGTGTGTTTTGAAAACATAAAGAATTAATTGAAACGCTACGCCGAAGTAATTGATCCAGGAATGGTTCAAACATCAAACAATTTCGTTTACTGTTCCAACTCTCAAAAAAACGGAATATTTTTGCTTGGGGTGGTTTTTTTAATCAGTCAATTTTGGGCAATCGAATTAATATAAACTTAACAAAAAACTTTTGAACCCCATTGAAAATATTGACTTTTTAAAATGAAATAAAATGAATCCATTCTGATCAATTTTTGTTTCAAAATTCTGGCTGTGTGAACAAGCTCAGGAAAAATTTACACGCAATATGAAGATTTTATTCATAATGCTGAAAGCGTAACGCTAAGTATTCTTGCGTGGCGAATTATCCCGCACAAAAAAAATCATTCAAAATTGAGTTGAGGCCAGCTAATTGGTCGCATATATTTTTGTACTCGATTTTTCAACCCTTTTTTTTCCCAAAATTTTTTTGATATAGAATAAGGGGCAGTCGGATTATTCAGGGAGTTTTTTTGCCTAATAATAAGTTCTTGTTACCATCTCAACTATAAAAATGCACTGGCTTCAAAATTTAAAAAAAAAAACGAGCGGAATTTTTTCTACTTTAAAGATTTTTGTAGTTGTGCCACTTTTGGATAGTTGAAATGCACAAAATTCAGCTTTTGTTAAGAGTGTCGAAGAAAGTGACAGAATATTTGTGCTCGGGATGGTTTCTTTTTCTCTAGGCAAATTTCGGCCTTTCAATTAGATTTTTTGCGGATTTTTTTTTCGATATCAATCGAAAGGTATTGCTGCCTTGTTGCCTTGTTCCGGCTGCTCAGTTATGAGTCGCATGCAGCTGTTGACAAAAAATTGAAATTTTCGAAAGAAACATAAAATGAACAAAGCTTAAACTAAAAAGTTTGCATCTGCTATTGCTCTGAATTGATCAATTCAGATAAGAATGATTTCCAAGCAGGAATTTCTCCTTATTATACTAGCAGCCCAGCTAAAGCTGTAGGCACCTGTTTGATAGGTTTTGCATTTATTTTGGAATGAAAAAGATAATTTCAAAATTTTATAAATTTGCTTCAATCAAAATCTAGTTATTGCTCTAATAAAAAAGAATGAACATTTGTGTATTTCGAATTTTCTTACTGACATAATTTATCTGAACCAATTTCTGGGCAAACCATCTTATTCACGGAGGCTTCTTACTACCACCTGCCTCGATCAAACCCTTGAGTTGTTTTCAAGAAGTGTCAAAAAATTCAAAAAATGGAAAAGAAATCAACACATTGATTTTTCTGAAGGTCGCTTATGCAGGGGAGTTTTCCAAAACCATTTTAACCCATTGAAACTGAAATTTCAGATCCGGGAATGTAGTTTTCGAGGAAAGTTGAAAAGTTTCAAAAATGGTCAAAAATCGAACACTTGACTTTTCTTAGGGCCACAACTCTTTGTGTAAAAAAAGTTTGGGCGTAACCTTTTAAGCAGGGGAGCTTTTCACATTGAACGATAATTACCTAGAAAAGTCAAAAACTTTAAAACAATGGTACAAAACCCGAAGTTTGGCTTTTCTGAGGGCCAGAGCTTTAATGGGGAGATAATGAATGGGAGCTTTCCACAATCAATTCTATCCATTGAACCTAAAATCTCAGATTCGGGAGGAGAGTTTTCGAGAAAATGTAAAAGATCGAACATAATGGGTCAAAAATTCCCCACACACTTTTTCGAAGGCTGTAGAAAAAGGTTTAAGGTAAAAAGAGACTTGGGATTTCAAGCATACAGGGGAGTGGGCGGAATTTTCTAGCTACTGGTACTACTTTTCCGTAAATCGGTTGAGTAGTTTTAAGAAAAATGTTTTTATTTGTTAGAAAATGTAAACGTTTTGCAACGCTTCTAAAAAAAATAAAAAAAACTAAAAATAATTTTTTGATACTTCCTGTTTTTATCAAACAGAAATAAGACCAAGAACTTTAAAAATTCTTTAGTTGAAACTTTGGGAGCTCAAGGTTTTCGTCAGACATCATCTTCAGCTATTAAAAAAAATCAAAAAATTAGTTGGAAAAGTCCACATTTGCAGGCAAAAAAAAAATTCAGTTTTCTTTAAGAAGGGGGTGTTATCTTTACTTTTTTTCAAGATACTTGAAACAATTTTTAAAAACAACTAATGAGGAAATGTTTCAATGGCTACTGAAAAAAAATAACACCGTGATATCAATACTACAACAATATTTTCCCGGTGACAATTTTGTTATTGGTATGGTTTTTGAATTCACCAATTTAGCGAACTTGGGATAAATAAATCGAGCAAACTTTCTAGCTTTAGGTAGAGTTTAAATAGAGATTTAATACGGCTGATTAATTAAATTTTAGGAAACTACGTGACTGAATTTTTTTTATTGATAGTCTTGAAAACTATTTTTTTTGTGTGTTTTTTTAGCGCCTGAAAATTCTCAAAAAAGTGAAAAACAAATAACGGAACTAAAATGTTGTCCATTTCTTGTTAGAAACTGTACTAAACACATGAAGGGGCTATGTTCCGATGCGAGCACTCTTATTTGAAAATCTTGAGATTAAACAGTCTGCACAGAAACTAAAGTCACAGATTTTTTTCCAGCTTTCAGAGTGTATTTACCAGAAAAAATTCATAAATCTCAGTAAAATCTTATCAAAAAATTGAGAAATTCAAATCAAAAGTCCGTGACAGAAGAAAATAGCTATAAATTCTATCATTCTAGACAATAATATTTATGATAAGTTTTTTTTCTTTGTCTGTTAAGTTTGTTGTCCTGTTAGTTTAACTTTGATACGTTATGATTCAAGAAACTTGAATTAATTTGTCTTTAAGCGGTTGAAAATTAATCTAGTTTTTGCCACTGAGGCATTTTTTGTTCACTCTGCACGAAAAGTTGAAACTATATTTTTTCATATGCTAACTATCTATCCATTATGAATAATTTAAATCCTTAAAAAGCCAAGAGAGCCAGTTAATGTCGAAGTCCAATTGTGTTCCCTGCACAAGAAATCTACTGAAGTGATCCAGTAAATTTTTTAAAAAAATGAAACCTTTGAAGAAATACTTGGAACAAACGTTGAATTATTTTTTTTTCTAAAATACTTGTTTTTTTTTCTAGTCAGCACGACTGAATTGAGTAGAAAGGCGTTAATTAAAATTAACATGATATTAAATTATAGTGTCAAAACTATAGTACAAAAATAGGGACATCGGATTGAAGGAAACAAATTTATTTTTTTTTAGAATCGGAATCACAATCTCTAATGTTTTTAGGTCTTATGAGTTTTTCTTGAATTAAAATAGATTATTTTAAAAAAATAACAAAAACGGCTGAAAAAAGACAAAATCTCGGCAAAAATTAAACGAAACGGAACTACAGTTTCAGAATTACAAAAAAAAACAAAAACTTGCTTTGAAACATGTTTTTCAATAACTTTTGCTTAAGATTTTTTTGCTTATGCGATGCTTGATACTGGATGCTTGGCGGTCGATGCTTATGGGAGCAGGGTAAAGAAGCTTCGTTACCCCAAGATTACAAAAGCATCAAGTTTATGTACTGCGACCTTGCGTCATGTAGGGTGCGGACACCAAGTTTGGAGTATCTTAAGTATTCGGGTCAGCATATCACGTTTTGCAGCAATCAAATTGCGACACAAGAAATCTACCGTAACTTTCTACTCTAATTCTGATCTCCCAAAATGTTTCAAAAATTCAATTTAGAAATTTTTGAGGGCTTCATACAAAAAAGGCATCTGTGACGACCGCTCTTTGCATATAATTTGCACTCAATGACGCATTAGGCGATCAAACAAAAAATACAGTTGTGCGGTCAAAACAATTTTAAAAAATAGCTTTTGTTGAACCTCCTATAATCTTTTCTGGGAGATGATATCTAAGTTTGATGGCTCAGATGAGCTCCAAAAGTGAAATTGACCTACCTAAAAAGGTCGACATAACTTCAGAAAATTTTCAATTGCAAAATTTC